CCCCAAAACCCCAAAACCCCAAAACCCCTATTTAAGAGACTACATGGGGATTTAGTCCATATCTAAGAGAGCAAATTTGGCCTTAATCGCACTGAGGTACATGTCATTGATCTTATGAGTTTCCTTAACATCAAACTCATGAGTTGTGTTTAATAGCTAAAAGTTATAATAGATATACCTCCTGTCTCTGGTCTGCTTCATTCTCAAGCATATCAGCTAATGTCTTGATTCTCTCAATGTTACTAGAGTTAACGCTATGGGACATTTTCCTGATGCTCTTTTTCCACCTCTTAATTCTGTCCTCTACAGAGTCATGCCAAACTTACTTTGTAGTTTCTTTTTAGAGTAGTTATGTATTCTCTTAGGCGATCATTGCTTTACAGAATTCTTCTTTATTGCTCTCTTTGATTTCTTCATTATAATCAACTTCCTCGATTTCTTGTGAAGCTTATTTACAACGTCAGTGAAGGAAATCGTCCTAGGAACTTCTGTTGCAGTGCTATCAAGATGTCCACCTTTTGTGGCGTTATTAAGAGTCATAGTTGAGACTCCTGTCCCTCTGTGTCTCAATCTTATCCCCTGGTTGATACTCTTCTTCCCAAGGAGTGAAGAGCGACCTCTTAATTGGTTCATGGGCGTCCTAGAATGAGGCAAAGTTGAGTTAGAAATCTGAGAGCCTCTGGCTAGTTGAGAAGTTGAACTCCACGGGTTCTTACCCGTGGTATTATACAGCTCGTTGTATCCAGCGCTGCTGGATACCTTACGACTGTGCTTTACTGGGTGTCGAATCTTTTGCTTAATAAAGGTCATCTCTAATCTCTTATTTCTTAGAAATAAGAGGTTTATGAGCCTGATTTACAAACATACCATAGCTCATCTTCTTCTCAGCAAGTAGACGTCTCTTATGGATTTTGGCAATATTCTCTTGCTTAATTTTCTCATCTTGTTCAAGGACTTTTTGAAGAGTTTTGGTGTGGTATTTCTCAGGATTGAAATCTACATTTGCTGCTTTTCGCATCCGTTCTTCCTCTAGCTCAGCAGCTCTTTGTCTGATGATAGATCTGTATCGGCTCATATTAAGTGAGATTTCTGATTTTTGGAGTCTGTTGCCCCTAAGATTTCTGATTTCAAGGAGCTTTGTCTTCCGAAATTCTAATTCTGGGAGTTCAAAACTTTGATGAAATTCTTTAGCAATTTTTCTATAGAGAGGTTCTAAATTGTAAAAATAGCTTTACCTCCATTTCTGCATTGCTTTACAACCAGACGGCTAAAATTTGCACCAATTAGCTTACCTCTTATCGAGTAATTCTAGTTCAGTTATTTTCTTATCTCTCTTTTGCTTCATTCTGTTTTCTACAAATAAAGATATCAATATTCAACTCAAACTCATATCTAAAGACAGATATTTATATCTAAGCAAACTTCGAATCAATCTATTCTCTTTCCCTACCTATTTTCAATCTTCTTTGCTCAACTAGCTCGATTTTACTCCTCTCCAAACTGTCATTCTCCTGCTTCAACTTCTCCTGATACTCAAATTCCTTTATCTTCTTCTTCAATTGCTCTTTCATCTCCCTCTGCTGTCTCTTCTTACTTATCCTAAACACATTTTAGTCTCTTTCCAAATTGTACCACCAGCGAATTAATTTCAAAGGCAACAACTATAGCTATATACACTCCAATGAGTACAAAAATAGCCACAAGCATCTGATGGGGCACTAGTGATTATATAATCAAGACAAAAAGTAAGATAAAAACAACCCTTTGCTGAAGAGAAAGGGGAATTTGGGAAGGAACAGGCTGGAGTTTAGAGGGATTTAGGGTTTGAGGTTGGAGGAATTTAGAGAGAGAGGGTGACAGAGGTGGGATTGTGGAGGGTAGGTTGAGGAGTGTGTGGGGGTTAGAAGGGGAGGTGTTCTTGGAGTATTGGGGGAATTGGGGTAAACTTTGGGTGGAGGGAATTTTAGAGAAGGGATGGATTGGTGAATAGGTGGTGTTTTGGGGGATTATTAAGGGAAATTATTAAATAGTGGTAGTGAGAAAGTCGGAAGTTAATGTGCTTGGAGAAGTAGTGGATGGTACCTTGTGTATCCTGTGTAAGAATATCTTAGGATCAGGAACAGGTTTATTTAAATTCATAGGTAATACAGGCACAGCTATAAGTAACCAAGAAGCCTACTTGCTGTCTGAGAGTCGAGAAATACTGGCTTAAAGGTCTGGTTTTGGTATTTACCAACAATATAGCTACATTTTCCTTCGAATTTCTTACTTGTTGGTCACTATAGAAATTATCATTTTTAGGATAATCAGAAGGAAAATAGAGTACCTTTACTGGTTGCCTTTCCTAGAACAGTAGCAATACTGAGGGCGACATCACTGGATACCTTCAGTTTTCTCATAGTTTGTCATATTTTTGTATTAAAATATCTCCCTATTGTGGTATCTGGGCAAGGAGTGACGCTTACAGAACGAGTTTTATCACAGGTATTTGAGCTTAATGGGAGTCTAGATGCTGAATCAGTAAATTTATGACAATCAATAGGTCTAAAATGATCCTCTCACTCTTACATTTTAGAAAGCTTATTTTCATCTTTCCGCATATCGATTTGTTTTCCTCACTTTGAGCCATTCTTATTTTGGAAATTCTCTAAAAATGCTGTAAAAGATTACTTTCATAGATTTCACAATTTATTTGAATCCTTTAAATTCAAAGAAAAGTCTGATTTAGCTATATTGGCTCTGAATTCCAAGGATAAAATAAAAATAAGGCCTTAACAGACTATCAAAATGTAATAGGAAGAAAATGTATCCAAGCAGGTAAGTTATTTCAATATCAATTAAGTGTTTTCTTCACTCCTAAAACTCATTATAGTGTATGTTATCTCTGAATACCTCAGGGTGTGCCTTGGCCTAGCTTAGACTGCTCCATTTCTTATGTTCAATAATAAATAATCTTAGAGGGGTTTTGGGGTTTTGGGGTTTTGGGGTTTTGGGGTTTTGGGG